TTTCACCTCAAGGTGCTTGAACGGTGTGTTGCGAGAATGCCACGACAGCCAGTGTTTTCTGCACATTGGTCTTCAAAGTCACGGAAAAAACAGCACTTTTGACAAGTGGCTCCGCACACGTCCAAACACAGATGCGCAAAGGGGTTTGGGGCTGAGGGTTTTAGAGGTGTAAGGTTGAGCTATGAGGATACAAGTAAGGCCATTCTTTAGCCGGTGATTCAGATTACTTGGACGTGTTGTGACCTGACGGCAGGCTTGTGTTGACACTTTGGCCACGATGCTGATGCTGCGGCTCGTTCCGAGCATCTACAGCTTCACAGCAGCTATTACAGCAAGTCTGGGTGCATGGATGGTGGCTGCCCGGATCTTTTCCGAGATGCTGTCACACGACATCTTACCTGATACTGTCAGCTGCAATGCGCTCATGAATGTAGCTGAAACAAGTCGGCAGTGGCAGGCAGTGCTGCAGCTGCTGGCCTACATGGCGACCGAAGCAGCCGAACCAAATGAGATCAGCTTCACTTCCGCCATCAGCGCAAGTGACAGAAGTGGTCATTGGCAGTTGGCGATGGGGCTCCTGTCTCACCTGCCTCGACATCGAGTCTCCCTCAGTGAGATGAGTGGTACTGCAGCCATGAGCTCTTGTGAGCGGGTTCAGGGATGGGAAGCAGCAATTCATCTGCTGTCTCAAATTCCGGGAGCTGATGAGATCAGTTTCTGGACTTCCTTTAAAATGAAGCTAGTGTTATGTTCAGACGGCTGAAGTAGAATCAACTAAAGGGGTGCTCATGTGCTGCAAGGCTTCAATGTTGGCATTGCTGCCTGCCGAGAGAACCTGCAATGGACACTAGCACTTCAGCTATTCCGCGGTATGCCGAAGGCTGGCCTGACAGCGGATTTGGTAACGTTCAACGCCCTTGTGAACCTGTGTGGTGAAGGCCCTCCGTCGATCTTAGAAGAAGCTCACCTATAGTCTCCATTGTAGTTCCTGTTTTTGGTTTAAACCGATTCTATATTAAGGATCCCAAAAGGGTAACCCCAAAAAGGAACTACAGCGGAGACTATAGGTATACCGATACCCCAAAACCCAAACTCTAAACCCTAGAATCCCCATGCCCGAAACACGATGCCCTCAACCTTAAACCCCAAACTCTAAACCCTAAAAGCCCTAAGCCCTAAACACCACGCTCTTTTTGGGAAAACCGGCATCCCAAAAGGTAACCCCCCAAAAGGGAGACTATAGGTAAATACCGGTACTTGGAAGGCTAATAATTACCAACACTACATTTGATGTTCCGAAAAGAAAATGTAGTGTAATATCCCTCAAAACCCTATTCTAATAATTAAGTCCCTTATATTACTTGGAAGGCTTTGCGCTTACGACACCGCTGGGTCCCTGCAAGGCCTCCTCTGGCACCGGGCACTTCGACTCGCCTCGCAGATTTCGGAGGCACAGTTGCGTTTGTGTTGTCGTGTTTGTCTTTTAGGGTTTAGGGTTGAGGGTTTAGGGTAAAGGGTCCAAAGTACCGACATAGTATAATGTAGGTTCTATAAGGGATCTATAAGGGGTACTATAAGCGGTGTAGGGTTAAGGGTTCTGTAAGGCATCCATAAGGGTACGGTGGGGTGTAGGGTTAAGGGCTCTATCAGGGATCTATGAGGGTAATGTTGTCTTGTTCCCCAAAGGGTCCAAAGTACCGATATAGTAGAATGGAGGGTTTCTATACCAGGAATTGTTGTTATGATTTGGGAAGGTATGCCCCCAGAACAGTACCTATGGACCCGTGGGGTTTGTCTTTCTTAACTGAAGTTGTTGGAGAAGACAGCACTCAAACAACGGGATTGTTTATGTGAGTTTTTAAGTTGTTGGCGAGCTAGGGAGGGTGTCACGTGGCTTACGAGGGGCTTGGGGAAGCAGCAGGCCTGCAAAGTTCTTATCTTTTTCACTGCGACCATCACCTATGGTCGGAGGTTATCCGGTGTCGCTACCATTGTAGCTGTTCTGGTCACTGGCCTCTAAACCCTAGACCCCTGAAGCCTAAACTCCTAGAGTAACCTTGGTAGATCCCGTAGGAGTTAAACTTGCTTTCAATTGAAGCCCTAAACACAGCCCGCATAGAAAGCCTACTATATGGATCAAAACCCCAAACCTTATAGACACCAAACCCCTAAACCCTTAAACCCCTTTTTGTACCCTTATAGATCCCTTATAGAACCCTTAGCCATACACCCCTTATACCCTCATAGAACCCTGAAACCCTACACCCCTAACATAACAGTATACTTTATAATCCCTTTTAGAACCCTGAAACCCTACACCCCTTGTAGTATATCTTATAATCCCTTTTAGAGCCCTGAAACCCTTATAGAACCCTTAGCCATACACCCCTTATAGTACCCTTATAGATCCCTTCCAGAACCCTGAAACCCTAAGGAGGCCGGGCTTGAGCGGGACATCATCGGCCACAACGCCGCCCTCAGCGCGCAGGGGGTGGCAAGCGAGTGGCCAAGAGCTCTGGAGCCCCCGGGTCGCCTAAGGTTCCTTTAAAGGGTTTAGGGTGTAGGCTTTGTTTAAGGCAGGGTTCAGGGTTTAGGGTTTAGGGTTTAGGGCAGGGTTGTTTTAAGGGTTCTAGAAGGGTACTATAACAAGTGTAGGGTTAAGGGATCTATGAGGGTGCTATAGGAGTTTCAGAGTTTAGGGTTTAGGGTTTCGTATGATAGCAAGAGTTGACTATGCTTGTCTTAATGAATCTGGTTTAAAAGCAGCATAACGTAGTGTTATTCTCATTCTGTACACTAGCTATTGATGAGTCCTATTGTCTTGTGTTAAATCATTTGTGTTTGTTGTTGTTCTTCCTGGGCACGTTATTTGTTGTGCGGTTTAGGGTTTAGGGTTTTCATGTGTCTTTGAACCCAAAACCCAAGACTGTTCGGTTGTTCAATCTAGCTTTTTCTTTGGTGGATACGGGGGCATTGTCTTGTCCAGGAGAAGAGGCAAGCTGACATGAAATACCCTAAATCCGAACCCTAAACCTCCCCAAGTGCCCTTTGTGAGAGCCCTTATGGTCCTTAATGCTGGGTAATTACTTACGGTATATTAGCGGGTAGTTAGGGTCTAGGTAAGCCCCTAAGCCTTGTACCTCAAGGGCTCCAATCCGAGGTTGTTTTGGCAGATTGCTTCTTCGAAGCTGGTGCCGGATCAGGTCAGCTGTAGCTCCGTCATCGTCGCTTGTGGCGCAGTCGTGTCTGGAAGCTTTTTCGAACACCCAAGTCTCAGAAGATTTTTTTTGGTGTCAACTTTTAAATTTTTGCTGCTGACAGGGAACAACACACTTCAGGTGGGAAGGGTCTGGAGTGGCAGATGGCGCTGCACTTTCTTCTAGAGGTCATGCCGGCCCTTTCCCTACAGCGGAATGAGATTAGCTTCAATGCTGCTATCAGTGCTTGTGAGCCGTTGGGATGTTGGGAGCAGGCAGTTTATCTACTCACGCAGATGCCCATTGTACCTAGGACCTAGCTGGGCCTTGCGTTTGCTTGATACTTGATACTCTTTTGGGCTTAAGAGAACCCTAAACCCTAAACCCTTAAACACCTAAACCCTAAACCCTTAAACCCCTAAACCCTAAACCCCTAAACCCTAAACCCCTAAACCCTAAACCCTTAACCCCTAGACCCCTAAACCCTAAACCCGTAAACCCTAAACTCTAAACCCTAATATTGTTCAGAGACTTGAAAGGGCGAACCTAGGTACGGTGCTTGCCCGACTGCATCGGTGCCAACGCCGCCATCAGCGCCTCTGGGAAAGGCGACCGTTGGCAGCTCGCTCTCCACCTGTTCCACTCGATGCCTCTTGGGCTCACAAGAATATGGGTGGTTGTCAAAATTATGGTCCCTTTTTGGGTCCTTATTATAATACGGCACTATTATTTAGGGTACAGCAAAAGGGACCGTAATTTTGACAACTACCCATATACAAGCCCAAACCCTAAACCCTAAACCCTCATTAGCATGATCATTCCTTTACAGTCCCTGTAGAAATCTACTGAGAGATGGTGGCAAAAATGTTCCCCAACACCCTGTTCCAATTATTAACATCCCGATAGCTTCGGGGTTGCTTGCAAAGATGATTTTCGGTGAGTCTATGGGTTAGAGCTCCAATGGCGGAGGTTGAAACTGGGTTCTATTTTTGTATTGTTATTTATATATATATATATAGATATGCAAAGATGTACATATATATATATAATATGTGTACATATTTTCATACTAACATGTATGCTGTATGTATGCATGTATGTATGTATGGATGTGTATGTATATATATATATATATAGACTAATTTCGTGGGTGTAGAGGGAATCTAATGGGAATACATCATGAACCTGCAAGCTTAATCTCCGTCCTTAGGGTTGAGCGGCTTAGGGTGTCAGGGTTTAGGGTTTAGGGTTTAGGTCCTTAGGGTTTAGCGGCTTCGGGTTTCAGGGTCTAGAGTTGCGTGGGGACGTTGAAGGCCGT